CTATGACTTGTATATCCGGAATAGAGATTTCTGGTTATACTGCTATATCGGATGGGCCTACAGGGTCACACACACAGAAAAAGACAAATGCGCGAGAAGAGACGAGAAAATCCCGGTGGAGCAGAGGCCAGACCGACCGGTCCAGAAGGTCTGGACCGATCGGTCTGGGTTAGCTGGACCGATTGGTCCAGAGGTAACGTATAAGGTCGGGAAATTGTTCCAGACCGATCGGTCCAGACGTCGGGACCTGGACCGATCGGCCCAGACGTCGGGATTTCCTAAACTCACTCTAATTAGGGTTTTAAGTGGGATAAACTTGAAGGAACACCTCCTAATTCTCTGGGCACGATTTTCAGACCCTATGGAGAGGTTTTGAGAGTGAAAAACCTAAGAGAAAGATCCCTGAAACCCTTGCGCAAAGAAGAACGTGTTCTTCAGTCCTAGCAGACGAGTTCCAACTGTTGGAATCCTTTCCGCCGTGTGGATACGTGTAGAGGGTAAGGTATTCTTCCTGCCTACAATGATCGGACGAACACATCAATTGATACAGGCCCCGGATCGATTGAGGTAAGTGTTCTAACGTTTCTACAAGATCATGCATGATAGGTTTTAGGGTTTCATCAAAATTTTTGTTTTACATCCGCTGCGCAAACCCTAGAACTGATCTCTTAGGAATTAGATTCGCTCTTGAGATCCCAGAAAAACCCAACAGTGGTATCAGAGCCTGGTAGCTCTGCATGATTTTTTTAGAACCCGATCACGCACGTTATAGGATTTGAATTGTTTGAATCCGTGTTTGCTTTGATGCTATGCATGATTTGGTTGTGGATCTAGAGTAGATTTTCTGTTCATTGTTGCATAGTGTGCAAGAGCTTCGAATTCTGAGTTCGCAGGCGAAAACGGAGTCGAATTCAGGTCTGAAACGGGGCAGAAAGGACGAAAACGAGATATGATCACGTTTTCGCCTGGACCGATCGGTCTGGTCCTCTGGACCGCCATGTCCGGACTGAATGGTCTGCATGGGTAGACCGATCGGTCTGGACCATTCCGGACCGAAAGGTCTGGACCGAATATGACCTGGAGACCGAGCCGTGTAGACCGATCGGTCTAGGCCTAGACCGATCGGTCTGGGTCCCGAGGCTCCACCAGATTTTGGTTTTTCGTTTCGGGATCTGATTTGAGCAATCGTTGCTTAAACCAGTCAACTGTGATTCAGAATAGCATGATTCGTTCATTTGGATGATCCATAGTGAATGAATGCATATAAGTTAATCAAGATATTAGATATGCTTGATTGAGTGGGAGCTTAGGAATTGGGATTACATAATCGAATGGATAGTCTATTCGAAATTTTGTACAATCGTTGCACAGAAACCGGTTAGATCTAGGAGCTCTACGAGTAAAGCACTTGTCAAGGCCTCGATCGTACGTGTCATGGGCCATGCCAAAGCTGGGTGTGTCGTATTATCTTGGTGAGGCAAGATGGAGAAATGGTGGTTCTCATAGCTTGAAATAGATGCTTGATCTAAGTGTGGTTTCGAAAATCCCTTATTTAAGTAATGCTAAGCGTGTACCTTCCATTACTAGAGCGTCTGTCAAGACATCGATCGTCCGTAACACGGGTCATGCCAAAGCTGAGCGTGCCGGATTATATTTGTGAGGCAGGGTAGCAAATCGTGGTTCCTACAGCTTGAATATGGTTTATCTTGGGTTAAGTTGTCAAGTTTGACTTGAGACTTAATGGATGGTTTACCTTAGGTTAAGTTGTCAAGTTTGACTTGAGACTTAATGGTACAGATGAGACGAGTATGCAATGATATTCGACATCATAGTCTCATAAAAGATCTAAGAGTCACATTGGATGTGATTGACATTAGATGTCTACCTAAATAGCGTAAGGCTGAGTGAAACAACTCATTCTTATGTGAAATACGGATCTTAGTCCCATATAGAGAATTATTGTAGGGTTAGTTTGTTAGTTTTCTTTATGGGAATATAGCTTGTATATGCATCATGTTGTCATTGATTGGTGATGGACTAGCTGGTAGTAGATCATTAATGTTTTTTCGTTGATTGATGATGGACTAGCTAGTAGTAGATCATTGATAGAATCTGCAATTTTGTTTTGTTCGTTATGTTTTGTCTCTTTTTGTAGGACATGACGTCAACCGGTAGCGTACCGAGTTTGACGATGCGATCTATCCTTGAGAAGGATAAACTGACTGGGATGAACTTCTTAGACTGGTATCGTAACTTGAGAATTGTTCTCAAGCACGATAAGAAGTCGTACGTCCTGGAAGGGGCTCTACCACCAGAG